TTTTATTCAATTGAGTTTTTTTTAATTATTGTAATGTAATGAAAATTTATAAATAACTGGAAGAACTTCAAGTTTTAACTTTGTGGTTAAAAAAACAGTTATGTTTGTTTTATGTTTATAATCCCTCCAAAACCAAAACCAATAATAAATTGGTCATTTTCAATCTACGACTGTTTGTGGGACATTGCTGTGCGCACTTGGCTGCCGCGTTCGCCCACAAATATACAGTCAATTCACTTTACAGTGTGTTCTGTGAAGCGCTTTGGAACGTCCTCCAGACATGAAAAGCACTATATCAAATGCAAGGATTATTATTATGATTATAACTGTTAGCTAGTCTTGTTAATTTGGCTAGTGGGATGCTGTAGAAATGCACACATAATTTCCTTTTCAGAATTAATAGCTGAGAGTGCATAGTGTTACACTGAATGCTTTCTTTACTGGATTGCATTTCTTCTGTTGGCCAGTACTGAAATCTGTCTCCTATAGCATACATATATGTACTATTATAAGATAGACTTTCTTCACAACTAGTCTTATAATTCACTTTTATGATCAGATCAGGGACCAATTGAATTACAATTTCTCATGACATGATTTGGGATTTGTAATCTGAGATGTTATGAATGCCAGAGTTAATATATATTTGTGCTATGGGGTTACACAAGTGAAAAACATAAATTTACCAGTTCAGTGGAACCATAAATTTGGACTAACCCTGAATGTTTAAAAAAAAGTTGCTATCACTTCCAATGTATTTATGATCCCTTTGTATGGCATGCACAACACTGGAACGCATTATCCTGCCATCATATCACATTTTGCCTGAGTACATGGGGCCCAATTCTACTCAGCACTCAGCTCCTTAAGTAGTCCTATATAAATAAACTGACATAGCATAAAATTGTGCCTTGATTATACCAATACTGTATGCCCATTCCTTTGAGGGATTATTTTTTTGCTGTACCTAAAGCTTAAATGCAATAATTTGGTGAGCAGAAAGCTAATGCATTAGTGTCAAGCAAAGTCCAACTCATGAAATACATTTTGGAACACTTCCCACTCCAACTCCAACTTTCTTTACAATCTGCGCAATTCTCACTTTAGAAAAGATACATCCCTAACTCGGTGGTTGGTCAGCATAGTACAAAGTGCCAAAAATAGATGAAGAACTTCTCAGAAGGAAAAAAAAATCAGCACAATTCTTTCTTCCTTACTAATTTGTTTTTTTTATTAAAATCAGCCTGACAAACTCTTCTGTTTTCTCATTACTAATAAGAGCACAATTGACAAAAGAACATGCAGCAACAACTTATATTTCCATAGCACTCTGCACTTAGGAGATGGTGTCAGATGCTGAGAAAGGATGAAGGGAGAGGCTCAAGCAGTGAGGTGACCATAGACATGGTCAAAGAGGTCAATATAAGGTAAATTTAAGACAGGTATGGAGGAGGCAAGATAGAGGGTGAGAGGGGGGGTGTTCCAAAAATAATGACACAGATTCTAAGGCTCAACCACTGATGGTGATGGGGGGTGGGGAAGTTGTGATTGCACAACAGACTCGATTTAGGATAAAGTTGCAGGCAGCAGTATTTTGTAAGGGCTGGAGCTTTGGATGGTTGACGATGCTGAGATGTGTGTGAAGAGGTAACAAAAGCACAAATGAGGGTAAAGTTATTTGGCGCCAGCTCTAGACCAGAGAAGTTGGAAGGAGGAGATTAGGTTTTTGAGTGTGTGGTCAGCCACCCCATTCTGACAAGGAGTCATGACAACCTGTTTTAATACAACTCAAATAACTACTGTACAAAGTACTCTTCTCACTGATGGGATTAATGTGGGAAAAAAATGTGTGGAAAGATGGGATCGTGGAATCCTGTAGTTTAGTGGTTAGAACACTTGCCTCGCAAGCAAAAGGACCTGGGTTTGATACCCGGGCAGGGAGAAATGTTGGGCACGTTTCCTTGGTTGACACGCCTCTGTTTACTTAGGAGTAAGAAGGAACCCGGTTGTTAGTCGATCGGCGGATCGCTTTTACAGGGGTAATAATCCCTTCAAATAATGATAATTCATAATTTGGTCTATCAATCTACTACTGTTTGTGGAACCCTGCTGTGTGCAATTGGCTGGTGTGTTTCGCCCAGAAAATATAGAGTGAATTGAAATGCAGGATATTCTGTGAAGTGCTCTGAGACATATATCAAATGCAAGGATTATTATTGTTATTATCATCAGCGTGCGACATTTCTAAAGCTTCTCTGATATAGTCGGTTTTCCTTTGAAAATGTAAATACTTGACTTCAATATTGCAGAAAAACGTATCCTTCTAAGTGGTTTTCTAATGATATTATTTGATCTGTGGTCTCGCAGTTCACAATCTCTCCACACAGTGGTGTTGACCTTTTCTGATAGCCAGTGCAGTCAATGTATACTGCACTGTACTGTCTGCTCTGAACTCAACCCCAAGGACAAAAAGTGCCAAGGAAAAAGACAAGTGTCTATAAATAAGTGAATGAGGATCAGGAACAGCACGAAACAATTCCCACTTAAAATAAACTACTTTTCTTTGTAACTAATGTTTGCATTGCAAACAGTTCTTTAGGTGTGACTTGCTGCAATCCTAACACGCTTTTTTATGATGGTTCACTCAATGACGACTTCAAACCTTACAAACTTTACAAATATAAAAAAGCAACAGCAAAATGGAGTCAAAATGTGTTTAATTCTATGCTTCATTCCCAACGTTAAAACGGAATCGAATGAATAAAATAAAGTTGCTTTCTGTCCGCATTGCTACCCTACACTCATTCTCTCTACCACCACAATGAGCTCCAGTTCGTGTTATTTTCGTTTGCTGTATGTTTCCACAAACCGTGCAAACGTATAATTCTGTCTCTGAGGGATTCGGTTCGGCAGATGGGACGAGGATCCAACATTGAAATCCCTAACAGATTGCATTGATATTCTAGTGCTGGCGTCGATTTTGTTTTTCTTTCCTATTTCAATGTTATTGTGATAGTTTCCAAATCACCACTGATAACAGTTCCCGGAATGCCCCCCAAACTGTCCAACTGCTCCCCACACAGCAACTTCTGATGGTCTTTTTTTATTGCTTGTATGTGGCCACTAGATGGGGAACAAGTACAAAGCAGGTCACGAGCTGCCTTTTTTGTTGTTTCCCTTTTTACTCAAGACTTGGTTCCACTTATTCGAAAAGACTGATCCAATTCATCACTGTAAAGATCCCAGATTTGATAGAAAGATCTGCAAATTGTGTTCGCTTCCCAAATCCGGAGTCACCACACCACACAGCAAAAAAAAACATCCCGTGAAGTGCTTTGAAACCTTTAGACGAGGCACTACTGTATATCAAATGCAAGGTTGGTTTATTTGCAAGTTTAACCCTTCGTGAATTGTTACGAACCGCGCAATACACATATGCATTTGCCCCATGTCCATGTTTCAGTGTATTTATTCAACAATCTCATGCATCTGTCGGGTTGTCTTGCTCTGTGGGTTTAGTATATAACTCTGCAATGAATCGCGGGTCAGTCAATGCAGTAAGTTTTATATTTTCAAGTATAGATACACAAATGGGAGGAATGGGCTTTTAATTGGCAGCAAATGACCAAAGCGTTCAGCAAATAAAACATAACGATCCACTTTGTATATTGAAAAAGTTTACAGTCTGTGTTCTGGCTTAAAGGTCAATCGATCTTGTGCTCTCTGGTTCTTTCTTTTAATAAAATGCTTTCTCTCTCTCTCTCTCACCTCCCTTCCTCTATCTTTCTCTCCTGCCTCCCTTTATCTTTCATTCTGTCGCCCCTTCCCTGCCCAATCCATCACTCTGTCCCGGTCTCACCATCGTGTTAATGAAATAAAACGCTTTTGTCGAAGGGGTTGGTGGGCGAGGTATCGTTTAGCACAATTTGTCACACTTTTGCAACCTCCTCAATCTAAAATCGCCGTACAATGAAAAGACATTAGTATTGTCCCTGTGGTCTGCTCCCCCGCACACACACACACACACACACACACACAACATAAAAGTCACAGTATGACAATAAAAACACATTACTGATGTCAGTGTCACACTGTGCCCCCCCTTCACACACACAGACACAACATAAAACAGGCCGCCCTGCATTTCAAGAAAATATATTGTGACAAAAATGTCCAGCATGTGTCTAATATCGTACAGGGAGAACATAAAATAGATTGCATTAAAATGTGAAGAATTAAGACAGTACTTGTCTTTAAAATCGTTTCATTTTGTCTGACCGATAAATTGCTGTTCCTGTTTGGGTGCTGTAAAGTAATAGCACTCGGGAAAAAGGCTCTCTCCCATCTGAATGTTTATTCATTGAAGAGGGAAATAAAATGAATGCAAAATAATCCGGTGGTTTTAATTCTAAGAGCTGCAATACAGGTCAGATGTAATGTGTGAGAGGCAGGCAGGACGAACATGGGTAGTAAATACAGACCGTTTATGTCAATCTGCGAATTTATTTTATTAAAAATCATATTGCACGCTTTATAGCATTGCAGTTGTAAACATCTGCGCGGTTTGGAACCCCGCACCGCGTAAACCGTTTCACATGTCACGGTTTAAAGCACTGCAGTGTTTAAAACGGGGCACGGTTTTAAAGCACGAAACGGGTTGTGTGTGTGCGGTGAGCGATGGTTCTTGTCCACTGGTTAGTGAGGACGGCTGTGTGTTGCAGCGAGTGCTCAGCTCAGCGGTGCGGCAGCGAGTGATCGGTGCGGTGTGTGGAGCGGCTGCCGAGCGGGTGGGGGCTCCATTCATAAAGGGACGGCGGTGGCCGGAGCTGCTGTGTGATTGGCCGCTCCGCCAGCAGCGCGCTCCCGGATTGGCTGGTCCCGCGGGCTCTCCGCCCTCCCAATTGGTGTGGGAGTGTGGCCGCGGCGCGAGTGGTGGGCAGCGGCGGCGCTCCCCTTCCCATTGGTCAGCCGCCCGGTACCGAGCGGACCGACTACTCTCGGGGCTCAGTCTGCACCACACGCACAAGTCTCACCTTCATTGCTGAGGGCAGTCAAACCGGAGCCTTATCCTCACACTTCGCCCCCATAACACTTCTCTGTGTTCAGGCTTCACTTTGTCCCCGGACTTCAGACAACAGATATATATATATATATACACACACACACTGTTCTACTCACACACACCCACACACACATAAACTTGATTTTCTCAGGCAATCGTTCAGAGGGGTGTTTTTTTTTCCTTTGCATTTTCACTTAAATCTGCATTTTAATCTCCTCCCGTCTTATCTGTTCCTTAAAACAAGTGTGGAATTTTAAACGAGAAAATCCGGCTGGACTACACAGCAATCCAAGTTTGCCGCGACAAAATGACTACTTCAAGGTAAGAAATCTTACTTTCCAGCAAACAGAGAAGTAATTCGCCTGTGGGTTGCACTGTCAAAAGTCCCAGTAAAACTTTCTTGCGTTCTGGTGGGACATTCACGTTCAGTACTCTGCGTTGCTTAAAGACAGTTGTTGAGCTTTTATTGTTGCCCTATTTACTATAACTGGACAAGTCTATTCTCTGGCGACGACTGCTTGGAAGTTAAGCATTTGTCTATATGTATGGAGACATATATTTATTTATGGAGCATATATATAAATGTCAGCAGCACTGACGCTAAGGTGAAGCAGCTCCTGCCTCGAAGCAGTGAATAGTCTTCGCCAGTCTGGATGGTTTGTATGTTTTGGTTAAACAACCAACATCTGTCCTGGAAACTTTTCTCAGATCATATTCCGCTTTCCGTTTAAAACACGGGATTGGGGAAGAATAATATGTTGCCATTCGTGCTACATTTTTAAATAAAAAGCTGTGCGCAATTCACTAATCTACGGCTGTTGACCACTCACCGGCACCACTTTTTTATGTAAAAAAACAAAAATTGTGTCTAAAATAAACCTTAGGTGAATAAACGTCGGTTCTGACCTGTAAAGTAGAGCGTCAAAAACAGTATTGGAGCAGTATTGAAAGGAGGTCGTTTGCACTATCCTCGCCTTGTGGCTCCAGCTCTCCAGGACTCTATTGGTGCTTTTCTTACCATGGATTTACGATGGGGGAGAATTGTCACCAGGTCTGTCTCCATCTGCGTGTGTGTATGTGTGTGTGTGTATGTGTATGTGTGTGTGTGTGTGTGTGTGTGTATGTGTGTGTGTGTATGTGTGTGTGTGTGTGTGTGTGTGTGTGTGTGTGTGTGTGTGTGTGTGTGTGTGTGTGTGTATGTGTGTGTATGTGTGTGTGTGTGTGTGTGTGTGTGTGTGTGTGTGTGTGTGTGTGTGTGTGTGTGTGTGTGTGTGTGTGTGTGTATGTGTGTGTGTGTGTGTGTGTGTCAGGGTGTATTGATACAACAGCATCAGTCAGGCTCACTGTAAATCACATGTGAACATTACACAGGTATGCAGTGATCGAGCCTGTGTGAATACCACCACTATTGCAAAGAATTTTTAAATTGCGTTTTCCGTTGAAGGAAAGACGCGATCTATTTGCATTAACCCTTCCAGCGCCGCGCGGAATACAGGAACAACTGCGCTTCATAAGATGATCAACTGAGTTTAGTTCGTGGACTCGGCTTTACAAAGGGTTTTGATGGGATGGTAGCCACCGTAGCCTGGGCGGAGGGGGAGTATATAGATAATAACGAGTACAGTAAATGCAAGGATTATTATTAATACGTTTCAGATGCAATTGGAAACGTCATTAACATAGTCAGTTACAATCATAACATCTTGTGTTATTCCGTTATTCATAGTTATTCAGTTTTTAGTCTTTATCTACAAATCGGTAATAACAACACGAAGGGATGACTGAGCCAAGCTTTTGATGCAAGTTTTTTTTTAAAAAAAGGAAACGGCTGTATAACATCAACAGTAGATAATAACCTCAACATCTTTCAACATCCTTCCGGTAAATCCTTTTAATATCTCTCTCTCTCTCTCTCTCTCTACATATCCTTCCCGTTTTCCTCCTCCTTTCCTGAAGCTGGGGTTCGACTCAGTCTGTGCCAACCACATCCTCCCGCACTTCATTCAAGTGCCCAACCTCCATGTGTCAGCCCGGTGGGAGGGTGCGCCCGGGGGGTGGGGGGGGGGGGGGGGGGATAACACAGCCAAGAAGCCCCCTCCTGCATTCATTCATTCACTCAACCTCAAGATGTGCATGTCTCCCCGCAGGAGGTCATTGGATACCCATCAGGTTTGAAAACCCGTGGTTATTCTTTCCTCTTCCCGGATCTATCTGTGGCATGTTGCACCCACTTTGACTGAGATAAATTAATCCACAGGGCAGTTACAGTTCCGGAGAGGAACCGAGCACTTTCCAGTTCTGTGATGAATCAGTTGGTTGCACACTCGGCAACGTGTGTAAGTAGCCACTCAATCACATGGGGAGCTTTCGTGAGAGGAGGTTGTGCAAAAGTCCAGCTAATCACAAGCCAGCGATCTTTTCCCGGCCTCTGGAGGTCCCTCTTCCCTGTAGATTGATTCAGTCTCCAGGATCGTTTGGACGATGTTGACACTGAACACAGGAAATCGTAGATTAACAGCTCTCTAACTCTTGAGTCCTGGTTTGTTTTGGCATTGGTTAGTTATAACCTCTGCATTGGTTAGAGAAAGCAAAGGATCCTTTCGGTCACAGTGTGAGTTGTTGGGCTCAAAAATCCGTTTCTCAGAACATTGCAGATCAGAAAGTACAACCCGGAGCTTTCCATTATTTACGCCCAATTTTTTTTCCCTGTGTTAAACTTTCGTCGAGGTATCCAGACATAGTTCGACGTTTTTATTCGGGAGTGAGACTCAGCTAACTTGACAATTTTCTTTCACAATAAACAAACAAAAAATATGCCCTCCAAACCTTTTTTGTCTTGAAATTATCCCCAAAGTATTTTTGTTCCAGATTGGCATCAGTTCAAACGCGGTCTCAGGGGAATCCCATAGTTTAAGATGAAACATTATTAATGATCGGTTTCAGTCTTGTTATAAATATGAAAGGGATTCAACGGACCTTTACATTTTGGGGGGAAATTGAAGTTTTAACAACACGACAAATGTTGCTTAATGTTCAATTTGGGAGTGCAGTCACCGTTGTCGATCTTCCCTGTGAGCTGTAAACCCTCGTCAGTCGGTTATTTTATTTTCCATCTTGCCCTCTGGATACATGCCCCGAGCTGGTAAATGTCCCGATGTAAAATTGTAACTAAAGCTAATGTGAATATCAAAGCGTGTGTCTGGCGATTCCCTGTCAGTGTTTATGACTGAGCTGGAACACATTAATAGAGGCAAAGTAGAGGAGGATTTCAATTCCGATTTGGCCCCCTGCAGAATTTTTTTTAAAAAAGACAATTTTAATTTGCTGTTTGCCATTAATAAAAAGGTGCTTTCAAAGATTAAGTTTGTTTTGAAATCCAACCAGACTCGAATACATCTCGGTTGCAAGGATTGCAAATTCATTCTAGAGATTAGAATTTTTTTTACAAACATACGCAAACAAAATGTATTCGAAAGGGCTGTTAATTACTTTCAGATCAGATCAATGGAAATCCACACTGTGCACACAGCCCGCGTCCCAGGTCATCTTGAAAGGAAGTGGGTTTGTCTGTGTGGAAGAAACCCTTCGCTAAATATAATACACGGTTTCCTAAATGTGTACAAATACTTCCTTCACTCAGTACACGATTGGAATGTGTATTTGCCACGAAAAGATAAATTCTCAACTGTAACATACCGCGCTGCAAAGGAACAACGGCACATAAGAGATTTCTTTTAACTTCCTGAATTAAAAAAAAAGTTTAAAACGGTTACAAAACTCCTGCAGTTCAGATTTCAACTGTTTTAATCAGCAGAGTTGTGGCTAAGTTTCAAACGCAGAAGGAATAAAGAAATAATGGGTGCTTTGCAAGTGCAACCTGATCCCTGCTTCTCTCCATCTGACAACAGGCGAGCTGACCACTGCATAAATCAAAACAGAATCAAACGCCACTCTCTCCATGTAGGTTGTAAAACATCATTGCTGGCTGTTGGTGTTAGATGTAGACAATCATCGGGAGGGTGTGCGTGTGCGTTACCAATGCACATACCATACTTTCAATTACCACTGAGAATATGATGAAATACAACCCTTTATCAGCACACTCGCTTCCATCAGATTTGTAGACCTGACGTTACAGGAACTTTGAACTTGATGTCTTTAATCGTTTAAAAAAAATGATTTAGAACCGCGTTTCCCGTGTCAGAGGTATCCAGGACTGTACCTACCAATTTCTGGTCTGCTTCATACTGTTCAACTCAGAGCAGGAACGATCGCCGTGACTATCAATAAATTGGCCACAACAAATATATCAATAATAACACAACACTTGAAAGACGATAAACTTGAAATAACTACTTTATACACTTAATACGTTTAAGAAAGTACGGAAAGACTTCTGAAACTTTTAAGCATTGGACCCCCACCACTTGCGAGTACGAAGGATAACTCCTCGTGATATAAACAGCACATCATTTACTTCAGATGAATTACAGACGGACAGGTTGAAATCTTCGCATTCAATCTGCGTTGATCCTGACTAACTTTCCAGTTCAATGTTACTGATTTGTTGTGGAACTATTCGGGATTTATTTATTTAATGTGATTATCTCGCTCAGGATTAGACTTGGATCCTGCATGTGAAGGCGTCGGACTCAGTTCACATCTTCTATCTCTCTCTCTCTCTCTCTTTGGGTCTGTATCGAAACTGTTCTTTAACCTAAAGCCACACACACCTGTCCACGGCTTCATTTTATTCAGACAGGTTCTGTGGTAAATGCGATTTCACGGCTGCACCAAGAAAACAAATCGTTTTAATCCAGAAGGGCTGAAGGTGGCACTGTGAATAGTACGAGTCCAGAGACAGACACTTGTCAGCACGTACCGCTGTTCACTGACAAACACCTCCTGTTCTTTAGCTTTTTGTCTCTTGTTCTTATCCACCGCGCCTGTCACTTGCTCTCTTCTCACAAGATCATATCTTATTCTCTGGTTGTTTCGTTCGTTTTCTCTTGCTGTGTCTTTGTTACTTTGTGTTGATTTCCTCTCCGTTTTCATCCCTCATCTCCCCCTTTCCTCTCGGTGCTGTATCTCTCTCTGCATATGAGCGCTCCGGGACACTACCCTGTGTGAGGGTCCCCATATAAATGCAAGTTGTTGTATGTCTTTTGGTCACTCACATCCTGGCTGTTTGTGGGACATTGCTGTGCGTAAATTGGTTGCCCCATTTCACTGCAAAATACACAGCACGTTTCGTACTGTACTTTGGGACGCGCTAACAGACAGTTGACATGGATCTGAAATCTGTTGACACCACTGCAATG